CCCAGCACCCTGAGCCCCCCCTCAGGACACCCTGAGCCCCCCAGTGTCACTCCAGATATGGGGGGACAGACACAGAGAGGGGACATGGGGGGGACGGGGGGAAGGACACACGGGGACACACGGGGGGGGTCCCGGGGGGGCACAGGGGTCACTCACCCTCGGGCCGCTCGTCAAAGTCCTCGTCCTCCTCCTCCGAGCCCACCGAGTACTCGGACTGGTTGTCTGGGGGAGCAGCCCAGTCTGACCAGTGCCTCCCAGTCTGACCAGTGCCCCCCCAGTCTGACCAGTGCCCTCCCAGTGCCCCCTGCTCTCCCCAGTGCCCCCCAGTGCCCACCCTGGTGCTCCTGGGGGGCATCAGATCTCCTCGTGCACCCACATCCCCTTGCCTAGATTCCTGACCAGATCCCTCCCAGCTCCTCCCAGTTCCTCCCAGTGCCTCACAATGCCCACCCTGGTGCTCCTGCAGGGCATCAGATCTCCTTGAGCACCCATGTCCCCTTGCCCAGATTTCAGAAGCCAGGTCCTCCTGGCTTCTCCCAGTGCCCTCCCAGTTCCTCCCAGTGCCCTCCCAACTCCTCCCAGTGCCCCCCAGTGCCCACCCTGGTGCTCCTGGGGGGCATCAGATCTCCTTGTGCACCCATGTCCCCTTGCCTAGATTCCTGACCAGGTCCTCCTGGCTTCTCCCAGCTCCTCCCAGTGCCCTCCCAGTGCCCACCTTGGTCCTCCTGGGCAGCATCATTGTAGTTGACCTGTTTGCGGACCCTCTTGCCCTTGCCCAGGTTCCTGGCCAGGTCCTCCTGCTGCTGCTCATAGTGGTGCCTCAGCAGCTTCTCCCAGTAGTCGGGGTCCACGTTCTCCTCCTGCTTGATGATCTCCCGCTCGATCTCCTCGATCTGCTGGGACAGGGGCCTTGGTGACACCTCTGGGACACCCCTGGGACACCCCAGGGTGGCAGTGGCACCACCTCCATCAGCCCCACCACCAGCACCTCCATGTCTCCATCTCCCCCAACTCCGCTTCACCACCTCCATCTTCTTCCTCTTCCCCATCACTTCGCTCATCTCTCATCTTCTCCATCATCTCAGTCTTCTCCATTCTCTCCATCCTCTCACCTCCATCATCTCCATCAGCCCCTCACCTCCATCATCCCCATTTTCTTCCTCTTCCCCATCATCTCCCTCACCTCCCATCTTCTCCATCATCTCAGTCTTCTCCATCCTCTCCCTCATCTCCATCTTCTTCCTCTTCTCCATCACCTTTATCTTCTCTCACCTCCATCATCTCCACCAACGCCCTCACCTCCATCTTCTCCATCACCTTCATCAGCCCCATCACCTCCATCTCCATTATCTTGACCATCTCCACCTCCATTATCCTACCAACTGTCCCAAACTTAACCATCTCCACCACCTCCATAATCTCCATCCCCACCAACTCCATCATCTCTACATCTACCATCCCCATTATCCCCATCTCAACCATCTCCACCTCCATAACCAACCATCTTGTTTCCACCTCTATCACCCTCATCTCAACCATCCCCACCACCTCTATCACTTCTACCTCTATCACCTCCACATCTACCATCTCCACCATCCCCACCCCCACCATCACCCCCACCACCTTCATCATCTCTACCTCTACCATGTCCATCACCCCCATCCCAACCATCTCCATCATCCCCATCTCAACCATCTCCATCATCTCCACCTCAACCATCTTGCTTCCACCTCTATCACCCTCATCTCAACCATCCCCACCACCTCTATCACCTCTACCTCTATCATCGCCACATCTACCATCCCCACCATCTCCACCTCTACCATCTCCACCATCCCCATCCCCACTATCTCCACCAACCCCACCACCTTCATTATCTCTACCTCTACCATGTCCACCACCGGCATCCCAAACATCTCCATCATCCTCATCTCCAGCTCTATCATCTCCATCATCCCCACCACCCCCATCATGCCCATCTCAGCCACCTCCATCAACCCCACCACTTCCATCATCTCTATCTCTTATCATCCCCACCATCCCCACTCCAACCCCCTCCACCACCCCCACCACCTCCATCATTCCCATCTCCTCCCCCAGCCCCCCTGGCCCCGTGTCCCACCTTGTCCTCCTCGCGCACGACGTACTGGGCCACCTTGAAGGAGCTCAGATACTCGTTCATGTTCTGCACGTCGGCGTCGTCGGTGGCATCTTGGTTCCGGTCCAGGAGCCGAGCGATGGCCTCGTTGTCGTAGTGGATGACACTGCTGTCCTCCTCCTTGTTGTCCCCTGCACCCGTGACACACTGCTGACACCCCTGGGCCGGGGCCACCTCCTCCCACCACCCAGCAGGGCCTTGGCCCGGGCCCCAGGGTCACTCAGTGTGGCCCAACATGACCCAATGGGGCCTTGGTGTGACCCAACATGACCCAGTGTGTTCCAATATGACCCAACATGACCTAGTGTGGCCCAACATGACCCAACAGGGCCTTGGCCTGGGCCCCAGTGTCACCCAGTATGGTCAAACATGACCCAATGGGGCCCAATATGACCCAGTGTGGCCCAACATGACCCAACATGGCTTTGGTGCGGCCCAACATGACCCAGTGTGGCCCAACATAACCCAACGGGGTCTTGGGCTGGCCTAAGGGGGGCCAACGTGGCCTTGGTGTGGCCCAATATAGGCAAATGTGGCCTTGGTATGGCCCAACAGGGCCCAACGTGACCCAACAAGGCCCAAACATGACCCAGTGTGGCCTTGGCCTGGCCCAACATGACCCAACAGGGCCCAACATGACCCAACAAGGTCCAAACATAACCCAGTGTGGCCTTGGCCTGGCCCAACATGACCCAACAGGGCCCAACATGACCCAACAAGGTCCAAACATAACCCAGTGTGGCCTTGGCCTGGCCCAACATGACCCACGGGTCCCACCACCCCCCCGTTGGGCGCTGACCCTCATTCTCATCCTTGAAGAGCTCCTCGGTGCCGAACTTGAGGATGTCATCCAGCTCCTGCTTGGACATGGAGCCAGCCTTGGAGCCCAGCCCCGGGCGCACCACCAGGTGGGTCAGCATCATTTTCCTCTTGGCCACCTGGGTGATCCTCTCCTCCACCGAGGCGCGCGTCACGAAGCGATAGATCATCACCTTGTTGGCCTGGCCGATGCGGTGGGCGCGGCTGAAGGCCTGGGGGCAGGGGGGCAAGGGGAGGGGACATCAGAGCAGGGATGTTGGGGTGAGGGACGTGGTGGGGATGTTGGGATGAGGATGTGGTGGGGACGTTGGGGTGAGGGACATCAGAGCAGGGATGCTGGGGTGAGGGACATGGTGGGGTCGCTGGGATGGGGATATGAGAGCAGGGATGTTGGGATGGGGGACATGGTGGGGACGTTGGGATGGGGACATCAGAGCAGGGATGTTGGGATGGGGGACATGGTGGGGACGTTGGGATGGGGACATCAGAGCAGGGATGTTGGGATGGGGGACATGGTGGGGACGTTGGGATGGGGACATCAGAGCAGGGATGTTGGGATGGGGGACATGGTGGGGACGTTGGGATGGGGACATCAGAGCAGGGATGTTGGGATGGGGGACATGGTGGGGACGTTGGGATGGGGACATCAGAGCAGGGATGTTGGGATGGGGGACATGGTGGGGACGTTGGGATGGGGACATCAGAGCAGGGATGTTGGGATGGGGGACATGGTGGGGACGTTGGGATGGGGACATCAGAGCAGGGATGTTGGGATGGGGGACATGGTGGGGACGTTGGGATGGGGACATCAGAGCAGGGATGTTGGGATGGGGGACATGGTGGGGACGTTGGGATGGGGACATCAGAGCAGGGATGTTGGGATGGGGGACATGGTGGGGACGTTGGGATGGGGACATCAGAGCAGGGATGTTGGGATGGGGGACATGGTGGGGACGTTGGGATGGGGACATCAGAGCAGGGATGTTGGGATGGGGGACATGGTGGGGACGTTGGGATGGGGACATCAGAGCAGGGATGTTGGGATGGGGGACATGGTGGGGACGTTGGGATGGGGACATCAGAGCAGGGATGTTGGGATGGGGGACATGGTGGGGACGTTGGGATGGGGACATCAGAGCAGGGATGTTGGGATGGGGGACATGGTGGGGACGTTGGGATGGGGACATCAGAGCAGGGATGTTGGGATGGGGGACATGGTGGGGACGTTGGGATGGGGACATCAGAGCAGGGATGTTGGGATGGGGGACATGGTGGGGACGTTGGGATGGGGACATCAGAGCAGGGATGTTGGGATGGGGGACATGGTGGGGACGTTGGGATGGGGACATCAGAGCAGGGATGTTGGGATGGGGGACATGGTGGGGACGTTGGGATGGGGACATCAGAGCAGGGATGTTGGGATGGGGGACATGGTGGGGACGTTGGGATGGGGACATCAGAGCAGGGATGTTGGGATGGGGGACATGGTGGGGACGTTGGGATGGGGACATCAGAGCAGGGATGTTGGGATGGGGGACATGGTGGGGACGTTGGGATGGGGACATCAGAGCAGGGATGTTGGGATGGGGGACATGGTGGGGACGTTGGGATGGGGACATCAGAGCAGGGATGTTGGGATGGGGGACATGGTGGGGACGTTGGGATGGGGACATCAGAGCATGACATCAGCAGTGGGGACATCAGGAGGGATGTTGGGGTGGGTGGAACGCGGTCATGGAACCAGAGCAGGGACATTGGGTGACAGGGAAGAAGATGGGTGACAGGGATCTGGGTGGGTGACAATGGGGGGTGACAGGGACCAGGTGGGTAACATTCAGGGGGTGACAGGGACCAGGTGAGTGACACTGGGGGGTGATGGGGAGA